AATTTTCCATAAAATCAAAGGTTTCCGATTTCCAATGGTTTTCTATCCAATTATAGGTGAACTGATTATTGTCAACCTCAGTGACTTAGTCCACTGCTTTAAATCAAATTTTAACGAAATCCCAAAACTGGCACAATGGATTATTGCAATGACTTGGGAATACAGGATAAGAGACAAAATAATTCCAGAACTTCAAAGTGGAGGAGACAGTCATTTTATTATTTTGTAGGTGAAGGACCTCACAAAAAAGTACAAACACTGCAAATGAAACTCCACACCATTTTAATGTAAATACCCCGTGATGGATAGAATGCTAAGCCTGCAAGTCAGCAATTGAAGTTTACAAAATCCAGTGTTGCTGTTGAGACAGCAGCTAGTTTAGGAATATCAATGACAGCTGAAAGTAGACAAGGCCTGCTTCATTGCTTGTAATTTGAAACATTCATGACCACAGGCTCTTCAGATAAAAATGTAAAAAGAAAGAGCCCATGCAAAAACTCTTTTAAACTAACTAACTAACTATCTCTACATTAGCATGTTTGTCAAATTAACTCTAGACAGTCTATAACACTTACATGGAGATCAGACAGAAGAAAACATAAACCATAGGTGGAACATGCAGCCTGCACAGACCAGCTAAAACAGCTTTGAAAAAGACAATGGTATTTGATTGCAACAATAAAAGCTTAGAAAACAAGTTAAGAAATGGATTAATGCTTTTCAGGCACTTGAAAAGATGCTAGCAATTCCTGCATTACATTGTGCTTTTTTTTCCAGCTGAACAGAGGTTGACTTGATGTTGCACATAGAGACACCACCTGCAGACCCTTCACTCCTGTTCTCTGATGCTCTGGTGCAATCTGCGAGCAAAATAGCACCAAGGAACTGGTGAAGAATACCTTCCAAATTTATTACTTAAATTCCTTCGAGCAATTTTGGGTTTCCAAAGTAGAGACAGTTCTTCAGATTTACAGGTCATATCTAGCTCATTAGCTTTTACCAGCAAATGCACATTGTCACTGAATGTCCTGGTTCTATGAGTTTGGACTCCAAAGGTGATGTGTCCTCTATGGAATTCTAAGTCCCTCTAATCCATGTGTTAAGATCATTCAATTTCAGAATTCAGAAACATCAGAATCTTCTTGTTAGAACATAGTCACCTTCTGCAGTTTTTGTATTTTTCGTAATGGGTTTAAAATATTTTGTGGAATGGCTAGGAATATTCCTCACTGATGGGACTGCTGCAGAGAGAGGTTCACGCTAATAAATTGAGATGGTATGAGTTCAGCAAGAGACCAGTTTCATTAATATTCACTTTTACTTGGAGTTGAGGCTGTGTTCAGTATTCTTTAAATCGGGCAAACCTATAACTTGACATTGGTCATCACAATCAGGTTACATCTCATTTTAAATACTCGCATTTCAAGTTGTGTGTCTTATTTGAAATTAGCCAACAATTTTTTTTTTCCCCTTTCCAACCTTTGGTTGCATCAGTAATTTAAAATTTTTGAATAGGCCTGATTTCTCAAGTTGTACCAGTCTGGGCTGTACCGGTCCATCAGCCAAAGATGCACAAAGATGCACAATTCAGATTCACAATGAACATTTTGTGAATGTGAATGTGAATCTCAAAGTCTTGGCCTTTTCAAAAGTTGTTGCACCCTTGCAGGTGACAAAATAAATGGAAGTCTTAAAACAAGCCATCTAATGAGGAGCTAATTTGATTCATTCTCATGGGCCTCACTGACAAGGCCAACATTTATTGCCTGACCCTTCTTATTCTTTGATCAAAACAGTCCAATGCACTTGCTGGGCCCCATGACTGGGAAATTATTAGCTTGGGGCTGGAGTCACATGTAGGGTAGCTCAGAAAAGAACAACAGGTTTTCTTCCCTAAAGGACACCAAAGAAAGAGCATTTCTGACAATTTGACAACGTCGTGTTCTTTGCACTGAATTTAAATTCCCAAACTGCTGAGCTGGGATTGCAATAATTTTCTCTAGAGTATTAGTGGAGCCACTGCATTGTTACATAATCACTACACCACCATAGCTTAACTTCTTATAAAAGGGTGATCTTTTTTGCACTGATTGACTTACTGTTCATATCCAGCATTGCTTCATCTAGACTTGCCACATTCAATTATTCTTTTTATCCCTTGTGAAACCGATTCTCCTAAAAGGTGAATATTTTTGTCATAGAAACATAGAAAATTGGAGAATGAGTAGGCTATTTGGCCCTTCAAGCCTGCTCCACCATTCAATGTGATCATGGCTGATCATGCAACTCAGTGCTCTGTTCCTGCTTTTACCCCATACCCTTCAATCCCTTTAGCTCTAAGGACACTATCTAACTGGTTATTGAAATCATTCAGCATTTTTGGCCTCAACTGCTTTGTGTGGCAGAGAATTCCACAGGCTGACTACTCTTTGAAGAAATTTCTCCTCATCTCAGTCCTCAGTGATCTACCTCATGCCATTAAATTATGCTCCTGGTTCTCAACTCCCTGGTCATTGGAAACATCCTTCTTTGTTTACCCTATCTAGTCCTGTTAGAATTTTATAAGTTTCTATGAGATTATACCCCCACCCCACCTCATTTCTCTAAATTCCAGTGAATATAGTCCTAACTAATTCATTCTCTCTTCATATGTTAGTCTTGCAGTTCCAGCAATGGTCAGAACTACTTAAAATAATACTGGCCAGCTTAAGTAAGAAGGAGTTAGACTAACATCAGAGGAATTCAAGGCTTTATTTTAAACTCATAGCAAAGAACAATAGATAAATAAATCTACATGAGTGTTCTTTTTGCTCAGTTAGCCCATGGTTGTGAAGAGTTCTTTAACTGAGTTGGGTACAATTACCCTTCCCCAGGTTGAGGGATGAAATGGGGAATGTGACCATGATAAGAGAAAACGGCTTGAAATCAAGAAAATGGTTCAATAAAATTATTCAGCTGTTCCCCAGGTCAACTGAGTTTGAATTTATCAGATAGCTTTGACTGTTAATTAATCAACCCTGAAATCATTATCACCCAAAGAATTTCAAACTACTTCTCTACTTTTGTGTGGAACCTTCTGTGGAGAAGAAACGATATTGCCAGTCCTGGGTTGGAAATTTTGTGTGGACGACAGCTGACCATCAACATAAGTTCCTGTTTGAACTTCAATATTACTGTTAATATTGGTGGCTGAAAACCTTGGTCAGAGATCTGTTGTGGATGGGCCCTCGTCATGGTGTAAAGTCTTCATTCCAGCTTTGAGTTAAAAGGGCTTTCTCCAGGTCTTAATGGCTTGGTTAAACTTTTGAGCTCAGTATCTCGATAGCTGTCTCAGAAGACTAGCCTTGGTGAAGTCAGTGAACCATACCATCTTCAAAAGTTTTAAACAACCTTACATTGCCTCATTTGACATGACACTCACTGTCTTTCCTTGCAATGTGCTCAGAAGAGATGTTTCCTATTTGGAGTCAGAGCCAATGCCTTAATTGTATAAATAACTTAAACATGCTCTTTTGAGAAATTGCTACAGGAACATAGGAACAGGAGGAAGTCCTTCAGCCCATTGAGACCGTCCTACTGTTGAATATGATCAACATTTGAATATCTTTTATCCACCCCATCCCCATAACTGTGAACACCACTATAATCAAAAATCTATCAGTTTCTACCAGAAACATACTCACATACCGAGCTTCCACAGCCCTCTTTGATACAGATTTCAAAGGGTTCACAACATTCTCAGTAAAATTATTTCTTCTCAGTTCAGACCTATGTGGTATCCCTCTTAGTTTTAAATTGTGCCCCAAGTTTTTGATTTGCTAACCATAGGAAACATCTTACCTGCATTTACCCTGTCTACCCCTTTAATGATTTTGTAGGTTGTAATGAGATGCCCTCTCATTCTTCAATACCGTGGAGAACACAAGTCCAGTTTTCCAAATTTCTCTTCACAGGATAGTCAGGAACAAGCCAGGGGAACCTTGTTGTTCTCTCTCCATGGGAATAATATCTTTCCTTGAGAGAAGGAAACCAAAACTGCACACGGTCCTCCAGGTGCGGTCTAACCGAGCTCCTATACAATTGAAGCAAGATGTCACTACTCCTGTATTCAAATCCTCTTGCAATAAAGACTAACATTCCATTAACTTTCCTAATAGCTTGCTGGTCCTGAATATTAGCCTTCTGTGACTTACCAAGGACACCCACATCTACACTTTCCAACCTCTTACTATTTAAGAAATTTTCTGCACATCTGTTCCTCCTGCCAAAGTAAATATCCTCTCATTTTTCCACATTATATTCCATCTGCGATGTTCTTGCTCACTCACTAAGCCTGTCCAAATCCTCTTGAATCTGCTTTATATATTCCTCACAACACACATTCCCACTTAGCTTTGTATCATCTAAAAATTTGAAAATATTGCATTTGGTCCCTTCCTCCAAATCATTGGCATATATTGTGAATGGCTGGGGACCAAGTACTGATCTTTCCCATATCCCACTAGTTACAGCTTGCCAATTCCAGAAAGCCCCACTTACACTCACAATCTGTCTGTTAGCCAACCTATACCAGTACATTCCCTTCTTGTCATGTGCTTTAATCCTTCTAACCAGTCTCCTGTAGGGACATTATGAAAAGTCTCCTGAAAATCTAAGTATACGACATCCATATGAACATTCAGCCTGTCAAGTCTGCTTCACCATTTGATCATGGCTGATGTATTTCTCAACCCCATTCTCCTGCCTTCTCCCTGTAACCCTTGATCCAGTCACTAATCAAGAGCCTATCCATCTTTGTCTTAAATACACTAGATGACTTGGCCTCCATAGCCCTCTGTGATAATGAGTTCCACAGATTCACCCTGTGGCTGAAGAAATTCTTCCTCATCTCAATTCTAAAGGGTCATCACTTCACTCTGAGGCTGTGCTCTCAGGTCCTATTCTCCCCTACTAGTAGAAACATCATTTCTATGTCCACTCTATCCAGGTCTCTCAGTATTCTGTGAGTTTCAATCAGATCTCCCTCCTCATCCTTCCAAACTCCAATGAGTAGAGATTCAGAGTCCTTAACCGCTCCTTATATGACAAGCTGTTCATCCTGGAATCATTCATGTAAACCTCTTCTGAAGACCCTCCAATGCCACCACATCCTTCCTTAAATAGGGGTCCCAAAACTGCTCATAATATTCCAAATGCGGTCTGACCAGAGCCTTATACAGCCTCTGTAGTTCATTCATGCTCTGATATTGTGGCCCTCTCGAAGGGAATGTTAAGAGTACCTTTATCAATTGTGTTAGTAATATCTTCACAAAAACTCCAACAAATTTGTCAAACAGGAATTTCCATTCACCAGTCCATGCCGATAATGCCCAACCCAGATCATTATCATGGCTGTAATGTCCTGTGTGCCCTTATGACTGGTACACCTATGTTAGAAATATTACTATCAGGACAGGCAAATTAAGGCACCTGGGTGGACTGGACAATCTCAGTCTGGGTTTCCAAGAAGTCTGGAATAATATTGGAATTGAAACTAGATCAAAGATTTGAAATTATAATTCATTCCGAATATAACTCCAGCAAGCTGAGTCTCACTGGGTTATTTAGCTGAAAGGCCAAATTGCACATGGCTGCTCAGGCTTAACTTATTCTTTTATCCTGCATTTGTGAAGCATCAATCCAATCACTTAATGGCAGGAATTGGTATTGTGGTGTTTGGTCTTATAAGATGCAGATACAGCTAATCCCAACAAAGCAAATCTGTATAAATGCATTGCTTTCCAACATGAACCATCCCTGACAGTGCAACTTTCACTCTGAGCCCTGGGTAAGAAAGAAAAATTTGCTGTTGTTGATTTGTGGATAAGGAGCACAATTCTACTTCCTTTATAATGGGCAATCAAATTTCTTTTTTTTAAAATCAATTAAAAGGAAAGTGCCCCCATCTGAGGGGGACACCACAATAAACTAGGAAAAATATAAATAACATCCCAGAGGGTTGATGATGCACGCCAGTTCACCAACACTACCCCACTGGTGCCCAGTCAACCCCTCAAGCATTGCCAATGAACACAAGAGTGTGGACATAAGCAAGAAAATAGAGCAGGCAGGTCAGTGCAACAAGGAGCTCAATTGTAAACAGTACTCAGTCACCATAGCTCTTTAAGCAAGGGAGCACAAACCAATTAGTGGAGAAAATGACACTGATTACAAACAAGCTCCTGAGAAGGTACTGCTCCAATTGCTGTACCATCACTGAGTCAGTTCTCTTCCCTGCATCTCCACCCCACATTACAGAACTTTGAACAGAAGGCGAATACAGTATATACAGATAAGTAACTCCTGATCGCCTTTGTCAGTTTAGATATTCTACACTTTAGCTGTGGGCCCACAGTATTCAACCAAATCTGCATGTTGTGATACAGGATATTTTGAACCATTTCAGGACTGATGCAACATAGGTTTTGAGGAAGTACGGCACCAACGTCCTCAACTTGAAATGAGTCCCTCTGATTCTGCCAGGAAAACACTTTTCTGCTCCACGTATCACTCTCTCAGTTATTAGGTCTGCCAACTGTCAAAATCACTATGGATTAGTATGAGCTGGACACAGACCTCCAAAACCCAGGGATGCTTAGTAACAGAAAGAATGAAAGACAGAGACTAAGAAGGAGCTAAACCTTGGCTGACTCAAATGGAAGAATAGTCCTTCAGAAGACATTGGAAACAGGCTTATTCTCCTCCTGTTACTGGCTCATTCCTTAGTTTTCAACAGCATAAGGCAATAACAGTATTTTTCATATTAGTGGGTAGACTTGACTGTGACCTCAACCTCAGTACAATACTGAGCAGAAGGTTAGCATATTCAATACTAGTTACTTCTGGCGACCCATATTTTTTCCACATGAGAGTTTTGTGAGGGAGGATGGGGGCCAGAGTTGTGGTCCACTGGGTTTCCAAATGCTGACTCGTCCCAGTTGGATCTTTACAGCGTCACGGATCTTGAACCAGTGGGTTTCATTCTTCTTTCTTCTCGCAACCCCAGAATTCACCTCTCAGCGTGTCGTGTTACACCACTGTGCTAATGGTGGAGGAGGCCTCTGACTTCCTCTGCTTGCTGGGCAGTGACTTCAAGTATTCAAGGTGTCGTCTTGCATCTTCTTGATTCTGTCTCACGTAGTACACCAGGTAGGAGATGACCATGGTGAACCAGCCGAACATGGTGATCAGCATGGCCACGTCGGTGGTCTTTTTGTGAACATTACAGAAGTTCACATGGTGCGCAACCTCCAGGAAAGACTTCTTGGCGTGCTCCTCTGGGTAGGCAGTCGCGCAAATGATGTCGTTGGACAACCCAATCTTAATGTTCACCGTCTTAATCATTTCCTGCAGCCTGCAGTCACAGAACCAGGGATTGCCTGAGAGTTTTATACTTGCTTTCAGTTTGCTGAACACGTCCTCATTCACAGTTTCCAGTTTGTTGTGTGAGAGATTCAGAATCTTCAGGCTTTCATTTAGACCACGGAATGCCCCAGTCTCCAAGTGCTGAATGGCATTATTGGACAAATCCAGTTCCTCCAGATCCCGCAGATCCTTGAACACATCACGTGGAATAGACGTTATTTGGTTGGAATCAAGGTACAGCTTCCAAGTATTATTTGGAATGTCTTTGGGGACCTCCCTCAGGTGCATGTCACTGCAGCGGACAATTAATTTCTTCTCTGGTTCTGCACAGTAACAGCCTTTCGGGCATGTTGTCGCTGAGTTAAAGCAAAAGGTCATCAGGACAAAGCTTTGTAAAAGCAGCCACATAGCGACAGAATGCCGCAGGAGTAGGTTCCTCAGCTCCATTCTGCGGCATCAGCATATTCTTGGAAATCCTCCGATTCAAAAATACAGCCCAATTTCCGTGGGACCTTCTACAAACGCGCTCTCCAATCTGAAAGGAGGGAAACAAACAAGTTTAGCATGGGTCAGGATAGATGATTGTCTGACTGCACTCCCAAGAAGTGTGCTCCAACATTTAAAACGCTACATAAATGCAAGTTGCTGCTTTCAATCAATTACTGTTGACACTTTTTACGTGTTGCTCCTGGATTTTGATTCTACTGAAGGAAAAGAAAATTTAGTCCAAACTACTTGCCCAAGACCGACACAAAGTACTGCTGGAATTCTGAAAGGAAAGCAAACCTACAGTGATTACTCAGCCAGTCACACAACCTCTGGAGAGAAAGAGTTAACGCCTCAGCTCGATGTTTTAAATGTATAGTTGTCAAACTGAAACATTTCCCTCCACAGATGCTGCCAGACCTGCTGAGTTTAACCAGCCCTGTCTTTTATTCCCAATACCTACATTGCAAATACATCGATTCTTCAAAGACTTTGTTGTTTCTTTTTAATAAAGCAGATTTCCTACGCCATTTTATTCCTGCCATTCAGTTTTTTTTGCTCATTCACAGGAAATGAACAAGGAACAATAATGACCACTCGGTCCCTTCAGCCTGCTCTGTCATTCAATAAGATCATAGCTGATCTGGTTTTAACATCAACTTTACATTCCTGAATATCCCTGATAATTTTCCATCTTCTTGTCATCAATATTCTATCTCTGCCTTAAAAATATTTAAAGATTATGCGTCCACTGCCATTTGAGGAAGGGAATACTAAAGGTTCAAGACTCTCTAAGAAAAAAATGTTTCTTCATCTCAGTTTAAATGGGCGTCCCCTAATTTTTAAACAATGACCATTTGTTCTAGATTCTCACGCAAGAGGAAACATCCTTTCAATATTCACCAGGTCAAGTCCCCTCAGGATCTCATATGTTTCTATTAAGTCACTTCTGACTCTTCCAAATTCCAGAGGATGCACTCCTAATCTGTCTAATCTTTCCTCATAGGGCAATCTGCTCATTCCAGGTACTAGTCTAGTGAACCTTCTCTGAACTGCTTCCAATGTATTAATATCTTTCCATAAGTAGAGTGACCAGCATATTCACAGTACAGGATAGGGGCATCACTGGCTAGACCAGCAAGTCTGGTAGACTGGGAAGCATGGTTAGACATGGAATCCAGGAAGAGCTAGCCATTTGGATACAAAATTGGCTTGAATATAAGAAAAAGAGGGAGGTGGTGGATGGTTGCTTTTCGGACTGGAGGCCTGTGACGAGTGGTGTGCCACATGGATTGGTGCTGGGTCCACTGCTTTTCCATCATTTATATAAATGATTTTGACATAGGAGATATGGTTAGTAAGTTTGCAGATGACACCAAAATTGGTGGCGTAGTGGACAGTGAAGGAGGTTACCTCAGAGTACAACGCGATCTTGATCAGATAGGCCGATGGTCCGAGGAGTGGCAGATGGAGTTTAATTTAGATAAATGAGAGTGTTGCATTTTGGCAAGGCAAACCAGGACAGGACTTATACATTTAGTGGTAGGGCCCTAGGGAGTGTTGCTAAACAAAGAGATCTTGGGTGCAAGTTCATACTTCCTTGAAAGTGGAGTCCCAGGTAGACAGGATAGTGAAGAAGGCATTTGGTAGTGTTTTTTTTTCTTTATTCATTCACTGGATGAGGGCATTGCTGGCTTGGTTAGCATTTATTGTCCATCCCTAATTGCCCAGAGGGCAGTTGAGAGTCAACCACATTGCTGTGGGTCTGGAGTCATATGTAGGCCAGACCAGGTAAGGATGACACTTTCCTTCCTTCCTTCCTTCAAGGACCGTAGTGAACCACATGGGTTTTTCCTGACAATCGACAATGGATTCATGGTCATCACTAGATTCTTAATTCCAGATATTTCTATTAAATTCAAATGGTGGGATTTGAACCCGGGTCCCCAGAACGTCATCTGGATCTCTGGATTCTGGATTAACAGTCCAGTGATAATACCACTAGGCCATCGCCTCCCCTCTGATGCTTGCCTTTATTGGTCAGTGCATTGATTATAGGAGTTGGGAGATCATGTTGCAGCTGTACAGGACATTGGTTTGGCCACTCTTAGAATATTGTGTTCAATTCTAGTCTACTTGCTACAGGAAAGATGTTGTTAAACTTGAAAGGGTTCAGAAATGATTTACAAGGATGTTGCCAGAGTTGGAGGGTTTGAACTACAGGGCAAGGCTGAATAGGCTAGGGCTATTTTCCCTGGAGCATCAGAGGCTGAGGGGTAACCTTATAGAGGTTTATAAAGTTATGAAGGGTATGGATAGGGTGAATACCCAAGGTCTTTTGCCCAAGGTAGGGGAGTCCAAAACTATACGCCATAGGATTAAAGGTGAGAGGGGAAAGACTTAAACAGGACATAAGAGGCAACTTTTTCAAGCAGAGGGTGGTGCATGTATGGAATAAGCTGCCAGAGGAAGTGATGGAGGCTGGTACAATTACAACATTTAAAAGGCATCTGGATGGGTACATGAAGCGGAAGGGTTTAGAGGGATATGGGCCAAATGCTGGCAAATGGAACTAGATTTATTTAGGATATCTGGTCGGCATGGACGAGTTGAACTGAAGGGTCTGTTTCTGTGCTGTACATCTGTATGACCCTAACTATTGCCCATCCCTAATTGCCCAGAAAGCAGTTAAGTTTCAACCACATTTTCTGGTGGTCCTGGTCACAATTAGTCTCACGTTTCTTTTAAAATTCCAGATTTTTATTTGATCAAATTTCAGCACCTGCCATGGTGGGGCTCAAACCCATGTCCCGCAGAACCCTATATTCAGGAATCTCAGCCTAGTGACATTTCCACTGCACCACCATCACATCACAGCTCCTTTTGCTTCCTACCAGGCTATTTGTTATTTTAATTCATTCACAGGATGAACATATTACTGGCTAGGCAGCATTTATTGCCCATTTCTAGTTGCCCTTTGGGCAGTTCAGAGTCAACCACATTGTTGTGGGTCTGGAGTCACATGTAGGCCAGACCAGGTAAGGATGACAGCTTCCTTCCCTAAGGGTCATTAGTGAACCAGAGTGATTTTCCTGACAATTGATTCATGGTCATCATTAGACTTTTAACTCCAGACTGTTTTTATTGAATTCAAATTCCACCATCAGCTGTGGCAGATTTGAACTCAGGTCCCTAGAACACTACCCAGATTGCTGGAATAACAGTCCAGTGATAATACCACTAGGCCATCACCAATCATGTGCCATTGAAGCAATGAGCTAAGCCAGGCTCATATCCTTCCAGTGGTCAAAGAGGTACAATTTACAGAGAAAGTATGGAGAGATGTGAAGATTTATAGACGGAGTTGCCAAGCCACCTTAAATGTTTACTCCGTCCTCACTGATGCATTCTGACCATAGCACATACCATTCACACTGCAGCAGCTCACTGAAACTCCTTCAAGAGGAGCTACCAAATCAACCAACTCTAACCACCTTGAAAGGACAAAGACAGCAGATACAAGTGAACACCACAACCTCTGCAAGATTGCCTCCAAGCCACAACCTGACTGACTGCAACATTGCTGTTCCTTCACTGCTGCTTGGTCTGAATTCTGGGACCCCTTTCCTAACACCACTGTGGGAATCCCTCCCAACATCACTGTGCAGTGATATGAGAAGGTGGCTCACCACCAGATTCTCAAGGGCACTTAGGGATGGGCAATTAAATTCTGGCCTGGTCAACACAAAATTACTTTTAGAAAAAGGACCATACAATTGCATGTGTTGACAGATTCAGTTCCTGAAAACTCTGCTCTAGTGCCATCAATGCTCACAGCACATGCTGTATCTCCTACAACATGAACTTTCATGAGTCCTCAGAAAACAAATAATGTTTTTTTTTAAATGTATTATTTGTTGCCTTTTCTATTTGGTAATCTGGAAAGACAATTTACTAATGAGCACATTGACAGCTACAATATTTAGATGGAAAAGATTCTTAAAACTTCATTGGTATTGACTAGCATTGAAATGCAGAGTGAACAGGACTGAAGATTCCCAACCAGCTGGCATGAGCAGCTCACACAGGCAAGGCAGAGAAACTTGTAGATCAACATCAGCATATTAAAAAAAGGCACGTGCTCTGGGAAGCCAGTCTCTCAAAAGGGCAGGAACCTGCCAATTTAAGCGTAAGTTTAAACAAGCAAGTTGATCCTTGCAACTCCCATTGGTAAGCCATTGGCGAAGTGAAGTGATGCTAAACATCTCAGACTGGTGCTGTGTTGCACCACCAGCATCAGTGATGACAGAGAAATTGTTTCCCTCGAGTGGCCACAGAATAGCGAAGGCCCCTATCCAGTCAATCTGCTGTGAATCATTGTGGAGGTGAATACCCATGACGGCTCTTTCCCCTTCCTCGCCCATTGTGATGGGCAGAAGAACCACTGAAGCCTCAAGAAGGCACTATTTGATGCTATATTTTCTGTTGGGTTTCTGCAGCGCTTGGCTAGTGTGAAATGCTCCTTAAAGATACCGAAAAACGTTTATATCTCCAGTGATGGGGAGGATGGTATTTTATTTTTATCTGGTGAACCTGAGGAATGTGACATTGAGGCCTGAGGGTTGCTAACAGGATGATTCAATCTGCTGCTGTAAATTGGACTGAAGCTCTGAGGACATCGTATAAATGGGTGTGTTCACAGTCTGTCAGGCGACATCAATGGAGGCATTAACCATGGAGTCATGGTGTCACACATTTGGCCCATCAAATCTACATTGATCCCACTTTCCAGCGCTTGGCTCACAGTCTTGTAGTTTTGGCATTAAATCCTTCAAATCAACTACCATAAGCCCCAAAAAGTATAAAAGTCCTTACAGTTTACTACAACAAAATATGTTTCCCTAAATCTCAAAGAGTTCCTACTCCCACTCCATTCCTCGCATTGTTTACCTCTTTTGAGCTAGACTACCAATTGGGAAATTGCTGCAAAATTATGGACAATTCAATAGATGCAGATTGTCTTATTATGAAGGTATTGAAATTTATTTT